AACTTTGTCATTTCCAGTCTAACATATGGTTCAGTTTTATTTATATTTTATTTTATCGGTGGGAGGAAACGGGAAGATTCGGAGAAACATTTGAACCAATAATTTGACAAAAACGAAATTAAATCTGATCGAATCATTCACACAGAATTATATTAAGTCCAAACCATAAAATTGAATACCCAGACAGGGTTGTTAAGTGCCTGGATGGCAAAGAATAAAAAAAAAAACAAGATTCCATGATTTAACAAAATGTAACAATACGTTTTTTCTATAAGTAAATTAGTTCCTGTTTCATTGCGATCAGTTCACAAGTAGCCAATTTAATCTTCTAAAATGCGTCCATTTCCTGTTTTTAGTCTACAAACTCTTTTTTAAAATATTATTCTTTGTCCCTTGTGGGTGACTATTGTCCCACGTGTATGTACCGTCTGGGTCATTGTGAGCCTACAATATCAACAAACTTGTTGAAAACCGGGTGATTCAATTTCTGTTTTATTGCGACCATTTCACAATTTCATAAGTGATCAACTTAATCTATTTAAAGGCGTCCATTTCCTGTTTTTAGACTATATACAAACTCTTAAAATAATATCATTTGTCCATTGTGGGTGACTCTCCTGGGTCACTGTGGAATCACAATATCAGCAAACTTAATGTAATAAACACAAAATCATAATATGGAACATAATTACTATTTCAATTAAAGCGATGTTTCGTTGAGGGTACTCTCAACATTTTCAAGCATTTGCTTTAATTAACATAGTAATTGTGTTCCATATTATGTTTTGGTGTTTAGGCCTATTACGTGTGTCAACTGCTAAATGTCGCCCAAAGAAAAGACCCCTCCAAATACTCCACCCTCACGTCTAGAGGAAGATGGAAGTGTGTTTTAAACACAATTGAGCAAAGCCGGTGAAGATAGCCGATGTTTAAGACTACAGTGACGGTGGGAAAGATTGATAACAGTGTCAAATATATTGGCCTGAATCCCCATAGACCTTAAATACCAGGCTTCAGCCAGCCAAGTTTGACATTTCAAATGTTAAGTAATTAGAAAAAAAAACAAGTGCTTTAAATATATGGTTCGATGTAATCAGAAACCTCTTGTTAGCCAATATAAAGGATTCAACATAATAAGTGTTTTTTATAAGTATTCTTTCGGATCATATGGATTAGTGTCTGGTGAACATTTGATTGAAATCTCGATTTGGTTTTCCTAATTCTTGATAATAGCTCGAGAAATTGGTCTCAGATAGGGAATATGATTGGGTCTGACTGTTAATGGAGCTCCGGGATTAAACCGTCAGTCGTCAAACGAAAAACACAGGTAGTCAATCTTTAAATTTCTTCGACAATAAAGAAATGTGTCTGATTTTTGTAGACAAGTTAAAGATACATTATGTAAGAGCTACATTTCCCTATTACAGGTCTTTATTTTGCCTTCAAATGCTATATAAACTAGCCTATAACCTGCTCTCTAGCACACCGCATGGCTAAGATTTTAATGGATTTGAACACCCGCGAGATTCAGAATTCAACAGTAAAATGGATAATCGAGATATAGCCTCGGTTGTCAAGTATACTTGTTACGATAATTAATGATCTACGCTACATGTCTAAACATTCGTGAAGTAATTTGAATGACATTTTCAACAATATCTTCATTTTGCATTGTCTATTTATGAACTATTATAGCAAGATGGCCAGCTCTTTACCTAAATAATGCATCTTTAATATAAGTTAAAATGGCTAGGATGTCATTTTATCATGCCTCTAAGGGTCAGACACATTGTGGAAATCTTATCATAAGGTACTTTACACACCAATCTGAAGCAAGTCTGATGACGCATCCCTTTGAAGGATTGATCTCCTTTAAATACAAAGATAACTTTGATGGGAAATGGTTGTTCTAAAAGTACCCATATCTACCCATTGCTAACTGAAGTGATGATTTGGAAATAGATACCGAAACTACAAAATATTTTCGCGGCGAAAGTCCACCCGGCGATGTACCAGCCCAATGGTTTAAATACAACACAATATGTTTACAATCAAATGAAAAGTGGTAGCTGAAGTTCGGGAAAAGGTAAGTGTACCATTTTCGTGCACGACACTCCAAATCATTTGCTTACTTGGGCTATAATTTGGTCAACGATTACAGAAGGTACTAGCCTACAGTAACCGCGGACATCACATTTTTGAACAGTTCGTACTCGTAATTCTTTCAACAATTTATTTGACGCCCCCGAGATCTAGAAATTAGTTATTAGTTCCCGGCACTTCGTTATTCTCAAACATATGCAGTGACATGTTACAAAAAACGTTACAAAATGTAGCTTTCTGGATAACCCCATGTTTCCGACTTCATTAGCCCAGTCGCTTCCTAACAGTAGGACGTTAAACCCCCAATGTGAATCTCCCATAGAGTTAATAAGACACTAGCTCGCTAACTATGAGGTATCGGGTTCGAGAAAGTTCCCCGGAATATTCTAGCGTGGTTTTCACTTCCCAGTGGGTGAAGGACAGTTTCTACTCTTTTTTTTAACTTTATAGACGAGTATTGATATATTTTGATATATAAAAGACGAGTAGGAGATTTTATTTATCACCCAATCCTTTCTTACATGCATAAATAATTAAATATAATTCTTTGCTATATATTTCAGTTTTACTGAACCTGATTACATTACGGCGTAGTGATACATCATTTTTGGATAACAAGTCACCCATCCTATATATTGACCTGGTGTTTCCTTTAAGGTTATGAAAGTATTATAATTGTTTATGGTAATTAAGAACTTTTGTGAATCAATATCATTGGGTCCAAAAAGTAGTTCCTTTTTAATAAACAAAAGGGTGTTCTTTTTAATTGACCAATCAATTTCATGTAAAGCGATATCTCCTTATGAAATTTATCACACAAGCGATATCTACTGTAGAATTTGTTATTGGTTGAGAAATCAAATTAACTGCTGTTATCTTTATATACGATCTTGTTTGTCAAAATAACAGCAACGTTTCATTTAATTCGTTGGAGAAAATTGGAACCTAAAAAAATAAGCCACTTCTTCGAGTGACAGTTACATGTTTTTTTAAGAATTTAAACATCAACGGTGTAATAAAGATAATGCGAACTGACAGAGGGAGAACTATCAGAGGAATTCTTCACCATACTAGTGCCATAGCAATATAATATGCCGAGAACACTATTTATTGAATATCGATAATTTCTCATTGAAACATACCAGCCAGGAATGTACTTGACAAAATACCAATTTCCGAGATAAGTTTAGCTAGGGCAGGTCATGTATAGTTGATAATATAGTTTATAGATTTGTTTTGAAGTTTAGCGAGGTAATGTTTTTTATAGGTTTGTTAAGAAGTTTAGCTAGGTCATATTAGGTCATGTTTTTAACATTGGCAGAATCGTACATAGATAAGCTAACTGATCGGCCTCCCTGGGTTATTCTCACTGTCACTGGTATTACGACACACACGCGATACCATGTGTAAAACATATATACTTTTAAAACATTCAGGACATAGCAGCAGTAAGCAGTGGCGGGAGCCGGATAATTGGTGTCAGTCTGTGTGTCAATGGTGATTTATGGTGTGTACATGTATCTGGAAGGGCTTATAACATTCATTATCATCAGTTACATCTTCCTCACGTTTAATAGAAACAGAAAAATAAATAACTCGCCCCACCAGGATCCGCCACTGTCATACGACATTGCATGACGTATGCCCGTCTTTATTAGCCCGGTCCGTGAAGGGGGGTGGGTGGACGAATGGTTAACTGGTGTGGTTTCGAATCCCCAGTAGGGTTACCTGTACAACCTCGTGGGTTTTCTCTGGGTCCTCCCACTGCTAAAAACCCCTACGCGCAAGCGAATTATGTAAATAAAATTAAACCATATGTTAGTCCCGAATTGACCTAGTTTGTGTCGAGTGGACGTTAAACCCCATTTCCCTCTCTCTCTCTCTTATTTCAATAATTCGCTTGCGCGTAGGGTTCTTTAGCAGTGGTAGGAAACTAGAGGATCCGGACAAAACCCACGGGCTGGACAGGCGACCCTACATACAACCGCGGAATCCAAACCACGCCAGAGAGGGGAGAGAGAGAGAAATGGGGTTTAAACATCCACTCGACACAAACTAGGTCATTTCGGGACTAACACATGATTTAATTTTATTTCAATAATTTTCTTTCGCATAGGGGACCCTAATCCTTGTCACTTACAACCGGGGATTCGAAACCACGCCAGTCGACTCAATGACAGACTTTATGATAGAGCGCGCACGCTAACCATTCAGCCATCCAACCCCCCGAATTATTGAAATAAAATTAAAACCATACGTTGGTCTCGAAATGACCTAGTTTGTGTCGAGTGCACGTTAAACCCCATCTCTCTCTCTCTCTCTCTCTCTCTGTGTCCATGCATAAAAGTAGGGCGTTAAACCCCATATCATTTCATTTCGCACACTTTGACGTGCACGTGAAAGAACACGAGACAGGTGGAATCCAATTGCTGTCTGGACAACATTTTTCTCATAGCACACTGCACATCCTGTAGGTGCAAAAGAGTTATTATACCCAGTTCCATTCATTCATTACAGAAATGACTAGTTTATAAATATATTCAGCCAGCCGTAGGATATATTACCCTGCGCTCCAGGCTCCACGAACATCAATACTACTATTATTACTATAAACAAACGTTCGCTGGTACTATAACTACTGCTACAGGCTTTCATTGGGTTCGTGAACATGTACTACTCCTAAATAAACATTCATAGTGGAAAACACGCTGCTCGTTACAGGCGGATTTGTATGAAAATAACAAAAAATACCCGGGTAATGTCAATCAATTCTGTTCGCTTCTATTCAGTTCTGAGTAGTAAAGTTAATTCCGCTATATGTATATTTGATATCGCTGTTGGATATAGTCGCGAACATCGGCGAGTAGCTCAGACATCCAGGTATTTATTTTGTGCATGAGAATTTATTCACTTCGTAGTTGTGTTATGAATACCATGGAAATAAATCGTCAAGCCATGGAATACGTTTTCAAGATTTTAAATTGGAGATAACAAGTTCAGTTCAGGTAAATAGTGGCCTATTATTAGAATTTGGTAAATTAGATTATCTAGGTATTGTGCACGGGGCAAGGTATACTTAATGTGTCTACAATCTTTAAGTTGGAGGTAACAAGTTCAATACAGGTAAATAAAGAAGTGTTATTTGAATTTGGTAAATACGTTGATCTTTGTGTTGTGCACGGGGCAGGATATACTTACTAGAACACTTGTACATGCCATATCTTTCTTCTTTTTTCTTTGATGTATTATCGGAGGGCCTGACAAGGACAGCTGTCTAGTCATTCGGATGAGACGAAAAACCGAGGTCCCGTGTACACATTGGCGTGCACGTAAAAAATCCCTTGACAGTTGGAATTCGATATAAGAGTAGGCCGTAGTGCCGCTGTCCGGGCAAAATTTCCCTCATAGCACACTGTATGGCGTATGCCCGTCTTCATTAGCCCAGTTCGGAGCAAAACAGTAGGACGTTAAACCTCATTTCATTTCATTTATTTCTTTGATGTATTTATTTTGCATTGTGCTCCATTATAGTTATTTCTTTCTTATCGCTTTACGCTGATAAGTTCGTTTTACATACAGTTAAAATATGTGTTAATATTCTTTTGAAATTTCCGTCTTTGTTAACCGAGTCGATGCGGAAGAGTAGGGCGTTAATCCACATTATATCCGCATTTTATTTCATTTCTTTTGGAAATTTTGCTTGTAGATCACAATGATTGCGATTCTCGCAATTTTAAAGGAGGATTTTTAATAACGCGAGAGGTCAGAAAATTTGGTCTGAGAAGGGTCTTATAGAATTAGAACAAATTGGAGCCGCTAACTTTGAGGTTCCGTGTTTGATACTGGTGTTAGCCAAGAAAGTTCTTTGTGATTTTCCGGTGTGCCCCCCACCCCACCCCGTCAGTGGTGCAGGGCAGAGAGTCTGTCAAGGGACCAGCGTATAGTCTTTCGGATAGTATGAAAACTAGGTCCCGTATACAGTTGGAATTGGAAATAGGAGTAGGCTGTAGTGCTCATATCCCTTAGTCCCGAAATTACCTAGTTTGTGTCGAGTGGACGTTAAGCCACTTTCTCCCCCCCTCTCTCTCTCTCTCTCGCTTATAGCACACTGTATATGCCCATCTTCATTAGCCAAGTCGGTTCAGACTAGTAGGACGTTAAACCCTATTTCATTTAATTATTAAAATTAATGTTATTTGTCATATCATAACCTGCAATTTATGAGGATATCCACCCTGCTCCTTCCGCAGTTGTATTTATTTTTAATTATATAGATTAGGTTCACATTTTACCGTGAAATAAAGAAAATTAGAGGCCAAGGCAAATGCGTCGCTAAGGTAACTACATCGTTGAGGAAAACAGTCGCTATGGCAAATACATCGCTACGGCAAATGTAGTATTGTATCGTTTATCGGATTGGTTAAAAAAAATTCAGTTAATTAGACCGGGTATTTTTTAGTTTTTGTATAAAAACTTTTGTATTTGTTCGGATTATTATTTTTTTTTTTCCATCGCGTTTTTTTGAAAAAAGTACATATTCTACAGAATTAAACCCTATACTATGCGAAAGGTATTTGGTTGGAATCGCCAATGAATAACTAAAACTTTAAAAATGATAACAGGAAGTGACGTCATCGACGAAAATAGACTATTATTAGACACCAAAGGAAACTTTTTTGTTTTTCAACCTATTTCGACTTGAAACTTTCAGAATACATTACACATAGGTGGATTAAGCCAAAAATGTCAACAAAGATTTTCCGATTAACTCACCTTTGAAGATGAAGTTGGCTTTTCAACTTCTTTAATTTTGCCTTATTTAAAAATATTTGTCAATACGAGTCGTCTATCAACATATTAGAGTAATCCCTGCAAGTTAAAATTCACCGGATGTGCCACCATTTTGAAAATGTAAGTCAATCTTTAAAATCCTACTCGTGCCACAATTTTTATTCAATTTTCAACATCGTCATATTTTTGGAACGCATTTACAATTCGCAATCGATCGGTGCGTTTAGAATTTTGATATTTGAGCTAGATTGTTTAAAGTGACGTCATAAAATTGAAGTTTTTTTTTTAAATAGTGTAAGACTTTGAAATTAGGTAAAATGTCAATGGCAAACGATAAATTGAGACATTTGGTGCATATTCTGAAAGTTTTATCAAAAACAAAAATGTAAACAAATATTCTGTGCAACATTTAAAAAATATTAATGTGATAGATTATGGCACAGCACCTTTAATATTGGTTATGTTTACTTTAAATGTTTACCAAAATATGTGTTTTTGGCTTCTACAGTGAAAACAAGTCATTTTAGTATGTAATTGTTTGCAATCGAATTTATATGACTGGCTCGGTAAGCATGCATTTCGCTTGCTAACAAGGACGGCACGAGTTCGATCCCGGTGTTGACCATTATTTATTTTTTCTCAATTTTATGAAGTCATGAAGTAAGTTGATCGAGTAAGTAATATTTTTACATCATATTTATATGCCATGTCTTTTGTTTACATGACGTCTTCTTTGTGTAGCAGTATAACCACAGCTAGCATGTCCTGTTGTTTTAAAGTATAAGTAAAACGATTGTCTCATACTTTGAAGATATATAGGTGTCGTTTAGAACGCTAGAGCCTTTTCTAGCTTTGGTCGACCAAAATGGGTTTCGTCGCGTTTGAAATCTAATCTTACGTTTATTTTTCATTGAGAGAGAGAGAGAGAGAGAGAGTGATGGGGTAACGTCCACTCGACACAAACTAGGTCATTTCGGGAAATTAATGTATAAGTGTATGATTGGGTTGTATAAAAACTATCAAACCTGTTTCGAGAACAGGTCTTATTATTATTTTCTTGATCGACTCTTGTGAAAAGTAACTCGAAAAGCCACATTTTTTAAATAAAAAAAAAACGTTACTTAAAACTTTTAAAGAACTTAAAATTTAATACATGCCGATCCATTTTTTATCTAGAAAGTACTAGATTGAATCTAAATTTTACTAGTTTTTTTACCCTGGTTTTATAAACTGGGTGAATATATTTAGCTTTGTAATAAGGAATACATTATAACAGGAATTTGTTTTATCTTTAAAGGCACTTAGAGAGAGACTTAACATTTTGACACATGATTAGATACTTCATATTACAAGCTTAGCGTGTGTCATCTGTTTTAAGTCGTTTTTTTTTATTACTATAACACTTGGTCGGCTACAAATACGTTTTTAGTAGCACTTCATATACCAATAACACTAAATTTGTATCGAATTAATTTTGTATAATTAATCGCATTCATACAGGCTGTATCATTTGATGTATTTGAATGTGAATGGCCAGTGCCGAAATTACCCATAGGCTTGGCAGACTGAAGCCTAGGACCCGAAGATGAAAGAGGCTTAGTATATGTCATTTGTTTTAAGAACACCATTAACTATGTTTTTTATTAGTAAAACAAGGCTTAGTAGGCTACACATACTGTTTTGATCGGTACTTCATATACCAATAACACTAAATTTGTAACACATTAATTTTGTATTAATCAAATCCATACAGGCTATGTCAATTGATGTATTGGCATATATGAATGGCCAGTGTTATAGGCTTGGTACGATGAAGCATATGGCTCCAAGAACCAAGAGGCCTCACGCCAAGGTGTATGATTGTTTTTGTCACTAGCATCATGCTTTTTCACACCCACTGAGGTCTTAAACATCGGCCATCATCACCTTCCTCTAGCCGTGAAGTTTGGAGATTTCGAGGGACAAATGGAATAGCAGAGGTCCTTCAAATTGTAAATGTCATTTCTTTTTCATTTGGAGCGCCCACCTTCTACTAATTTAATTTGTATCTTTACGCCAGGATTAAATTTGATACATCATAAAGGTGCAGTATCTAAGAGGTAAATCTGCCTATTACAGGTCTTTTTTATGGCTTATATCAGTATTATCTAATCATGTATTAACATGACAAGCCTATAACCAACTCTCAAGAACATCGGATGACCCCGATTTTAAGTACCGGTAGATTAAGACACAGTGACGATATAAGATTTTAACGATAAAATAGATAACTTAGACTTGATTGACAAGTACCGTTGCTACGATAATCAGTAATCTACGTTCAAGTTTGTCAAAACTTCAAACAATCATAACTTCGCATAAAATAAAGAAATTTTAACTAGAAAGTTGTCCAGTTGTTTTCAGCCCAGTATTCGCTTGTCAGTGGTGCATGGCGAGGGGCTTGACAAGTACAGCATTTAGACGTTCTCATGGGACGAAAAACTGAGATCCCATGTTCATATTTGCATGGAAGTAATATAACCCTTGGAAGTCAGAATTCGATATATGACGTATGATCTTCATAGCTGTGGCCTTCCTGTACGTACTATGAGATAATCCAATGAACAGACATGTAATACAGCAGATTGACGTGTACGTAAAAAAACACCCTTGGCAGTTGGACTTGGATATAATGGGGGGGGGGGGATGGTTAGCACGTGCGCGCTGTATCATGAGGTCTGTCATTGAGTCAACTGTCGTGGTTTCGATTCCCCGTTTGTACGTGTCAAGGAGTAGGGTCGCCTGTCATGTGTCGTGGGTTTTCTCCGGGTCCCCGACTGCTAATAGACACCTACCCTCAAGCGAATTATTGAAATAAAAATAAAACCATATGTTAGTTCCGAATTGACCTGGTTTGTGTCGAAATAAACCCTATTTCTCTCTCTCTCTCTCTCTCTCTCTCTCTCTCATCTTCATTAGCCCAGTTGGTGCAGACAAGTAGGACATATCAACTCCATTTCATTTATTTACTAAAATATATCTCGGACTTCGACACAGCACCGTTAAGCCCTTGGTCTGACCTCTTATTTATTCAATGAGTATTCCCATTGGCTGCGAACAAAATATGTTTTTACCAACCAACGGAATTTGATAAGGAAGTATTCGGATCTTCATGCTACGTAGGCGTTATGTCATTCAAAATTCAATCAGGAAAGACTAAGGTTTTATTGTAATT